CAACTTTAAGGATATCTCAGTCATTTTAACAGAAAAAGTGCTTACCAGCACTTATTTACCAAACACTTCAACAAATTTTTTCCCAGCTTAAGCACTTTTATGCAAATACATAAATGCTTATTTATAAAACAAGTTTCAACACTTAAAAAGTGCTTTATAGCACAATGCTTAAAAGCTACTTTTTTTAAGCCAATCCAAATGGGCTCTAAAATTGTCACATCATTAAAGCATAACTAAATCAACTAATAAATGTTGGATTCCAGTCTAGAATTAGATGATGTGAGAAATTGGGAAAAATGGGGGTTAAAAATGAAGGAAATACTCTAAAAAAAGTAATCATACGTGTACTTTGACATCGTTACTAGTTTGTTGTGCTAATGATGTGACATTGCGTATCTCACAACCCTAAAACACATACACACAATTTTAAAATATAAATACTTTATGTCCCAAAGAGCACACGCGAGGTTTCAAGTTTAAATGTCTTTTGAGGGTTTTGGTGAACAATGGCGAAACTAGAAAATTTTTCAAGGTTATTCAAATTTAAAAGAAGTAAAAAAAAATTCCCGACAAAGGGTGTTCAATATGTGTTATATACCTCTAAAACGTAATATTTTACCGATATACACAATGCAATTTTCGATGAAGGGTGGTCAGTTGACTGTCAAAATGTGAGCTTGAAGCTCAGTTGATCTAAGCCCTAATTTGGACAGAGGAGAAGAACAAGAGAACTTTCTAGAGAGAGAAATATTGGACGAAAATGTTTATTGAAAATGAAATGACTTAAGCCATCTGTTACACTGTACAAGCCTATATGTATATCTATTTTGACAGCTATCAACACCTGTAACTACCTTCTAACATAACAAACTAACTAAACTCCTCTTACATAAATAATCTTCTCACTAATGACGCCTTACCTAATCCCCAAGTAACTCCTTTCTCAACACTCCCCCTCAAGCTGGTAGGTGCAAAAACATTTAGCACTCCCAGCTTAGAAACTAAGTACTCATGTTGAGGTCTTAACAGAGATTTCGTTAATATGTCAGCCTGCTGCTCCTCAGAACAAATGTGTTGTGTCTCCACCAGTCCTTCTTGAATCTTTTCCCTTATGAAGTGACAATCGATCTCGATGTGCTTTGTCCTCTCATGGTACATTGGATTTGCTGCTATATGTAGAGCTGCTTTGTTGTCACAGTACAACCTTACTGGCTTATTTTTCTCTATTCCCAGCTCTTTGAACAACCCTGTCACCCAAATAAGTTCTGCAATTGTTGAAGCCATACTTCTATACTCTGCTCTGCAGAACTTCTGGAAATTATGTTTTGTTTCTTTGACTTCCAAGAAATAAGTTAATCTCCATGCTTGATGAGGAATCCTGTTACTGATTTCCTAGTGTTTGGACATGATGCCCAATAAGCATCACAGTATGCTATCAGGCTATTCCCTTCTTGCTACTCATGAGTATTCCTAATCCAGTTTCTCTTTTATATACCCAACAATCCTTAGGGCTGCTTCCCAGTGTGATCTCTTGGGATTTTGCATAAATTAACTAAGTGTATGCATTGCGAAGGCAATATCCAGCCTAGTGAGAGTCAGATACAGAAGTTTCCCTATCAGCTTTTGGCACTTTCCCTTATCTTCCATCAATTCATCATTCACCTCTCCCTGCAAGTCTCCTAACTCTTTGTTTTTCAGCTTTTGATTGAATTCAAGTGGTGTCCAAGCAGGTTTAGATGCACTTAGTCCTAGCTATGTAACGAGCTCAAGTGCATACTTCCTCCGGTTCATAATAATCCATCTATGAGATCTAGCAAACTCTATACCCAGGAAATATTTTAATTCACCTAGGTCCTTCATTTTGAAGACCTGTTGCAGCCCCCTCTTAGTGGATTCAATCATCTCCAAACTGTTGCTTGTCACCAGCATATCATCCACATACACTAGAATCACAACTATGTTAACATCTTGTCTCTTAGTGAATAATGAATGGTCCAGACTGCTCTGAGTAAAACCGTGTGTGATCAAGGCATCTGTGAGTTTGATATTCCATTATTCGCTCGCATGTTTCAGCCCATATAGTGATTTTGCAAGCCTGCATACCATGCCTCTGGACTCCGTTGGCTTGCAAAACCTTCAGGTAGTGACATGTACACTTCATCATGTAAATCTCCTTGCAAGAAGGCATTGAACACATCCATTTGATGAATGTGCCAACCCTCAGAGGCTACTATTGAGATGAATGTCCAGATAGCGACAATTTTCACTACAGGTGAAAAAGTCTCATGGTAGTCTAAACCCTCTTGTTGGTTGTGACCTTTAGCTACCAACCTTGCCTTGTATCTTTCCACATCTCCATTACCCTTGTACTTAATTTTGAATACCCATTTGCAACCAATAGGGACCTTGCCTGTTGGAAGTGGTACCAATTCCCAGGTCTTGTTGTCTTCAAGTGCCTGTATTTCTGCTCTCATTGCTTCAACCTATCTTGGGTCATCAGCTGCCTCTTTAAAATAACTTGGCTCATAAGCAGATGTAAAGAGTGCCAAGGATTGGCGATATTGGGGCTTCAGAGTACTATAACCAATATAGCTACTCATGGCATGTGGAATCTGGGACTTAGGCTTCATAGGATTGACAATGTAATCTATCATCCAAGCAAAATTTCTTTTGGGTCTGTCTGACCTCCTCAATTGTTCATCATGAAATGCCTGAATTTCAGCTGGTACATGCTCTTCTTGCGGCAAATCTGGATCAACTGATGAGTTGTTCTCAACGGAAACAAGGTCATGAACCACTGGGATCTCAACTGCCGCCTCATGCTCATCAAGATTATCTTCTGTTGCAGGTATCCCTACAGTCTCAGAAGCTTGATCTAGAGTAGCAAGTAAATCATCTTCCAGGTGTACAACTGCAGGTGTGGTTAAGGGGAAAACAAGATCTTTTTCTGCTACAAAAAGGTGTAGTTGCTTTGAGCTTTTGTGTTTAAAAGGAAAAATAGTTTCCTTAAACACTAAATCCATGTTAACAAAGAAAGAGTGGTTAGTTATATCATATAATATGTAGCCTTTGCTACATTCTGAGTATCACATCATCACAGCAGCTATTGCTCTTGGCTCAAATTCATCATGAGAATTAATCTTCTTTGAATAGCATAAACAACCCATTGTTCTCAGATGATCTAACTTTGGCTTCTCGAGATGATCTCTTTTTACCTAGCACTTGAGAGGGCATTCTATTGATCAAGTATATTGCTGTCACTACACAATGTCCCTAAAATCTTAAAGGAAGTCCCCCTTGAAATCTAATGGCTCTAGCTCTCTCCAATATATGCTTGTGCTTTCTTTCTGCAACCCTATTTTGTTGGGGTGTATACACACAGGTTGTCTGATAAATTATTCCAAAACTTTCAAACTTTGCCTTGCATTCTAAATTGAGGAATTCACCTCCATTATCTGACCTAATGATTTTGACTGCTTAATTAAACTGATTCTGCACCAATTTCAGAAAGTTCCTTGGCATCATTATTACATCACTCTTCAACTTTAACAAAAACAACCATGTCATTCTAGAATGGTCATCAACCACAGTCTTACACTGGAGGGCCCCCATACATCAATGTGCAACAAGTCAAAAATCCCTACAGCTCTACTTGTGCTATTATTGAAAGGTAATCTAGTATGTCTAGCTAAAGGACATACAATACAATTTTCTAATGCTGTTTTACAGTTATTTTGTCCCAAATTTAGAACATGTTGTAATGGTCCAACTAGTGCATGTCCAGGCCTCTTGTGCCACAGTTCAATATCCTGCTCCTCCATTGTTGCTATCAAACTTGTTTTTGTAGCCTTATTGGTTTTATTGAGAGATTGAGTGAGTAAGTAGAGGACATATCTTTCTCTACCAATCCCCATTACACTTCCATTGTAAAGGTCCTAGAAGATACAGAATTCAGGAAAAAACATAGCAACACATTTCAATTCTTTGGTGATTTTTGATACAGACAATAAGTTGTACTTGAAATCAGGTATATAAAGCACATTATTGACTAACTCATCTCATGTGGTCTTACAAGAACCAATATGTGACACATGTGTTACCCCTCCATTGGGCATGTGTACTTGCTTTGTGTCAGTATTACTAACTTCTGTATAATCATTCATTAGCCCTAGATCAGAAACCATATGGTTCGTTACTCCGGTGTCTACAATCCATTCTCTGTTATAATCTACAAGAAAGGCTCTAATAATACCAGACATATTTCCAGAGATGTCTGCATTGTTTTCCTTGCTCAACAACTTTAAGATTTGGTTGTATTGTTCCTAGTAAAAAAGGCTCTTGCTATGTTGTTTTTGTCTGCTCCTGCCTGAAAGATTGCTTCTCCACATTCCTGAGATTTCCTATCCTCCAAGGTTGCAATGTGTGCCATATTGTTGCCAATTTTCTTCTTAAACTTGAAATCAGAGGGATATCCTACTATTTTATAACATACATCCCTAGTGTGTCCTATTAACTTGCAAAAATCACACACGAGGTTGTAGTTTTTCTTGCATCTCTGCTGATATCCAGTATGTTGGTACCCTGTCTGATATGTAGGTTGTTGATTCCCTGTTTGATGTCTAGTTTTTGTAGTCATTAAGGCAGTTTCTTCTGTTCCTTCTGTAGAAGCAAAGGTGTTGGTCATACTACACTGACTTTCCTTTTCCATTAGCATAGAATAGGCGTTATTAACTGGTGGAGCTGGTGTCATCATCAAAATTTGACTACGAGCATGCTCATATGATTCATTTAGTCCCATGAGAAACTGCAAGAGTGTCACGGCCCAAAATTCCCACATTTGGGACCGTGATGACGCCTAACATGTCACTTGCTAGGCAAGCCAACGTTAGAATAATATTAACCATTTTTAACATTTTTAATTTAATTAATAACAACTAAACAATGAGAAAATATAATCTTAAATAAAGTGATTAATCCATAATAATAGCAATGTCTAAAAACTATCCCAGAACCGGTGTCACAAGTGCAGAGCCACTAGAATAATCCAAACAAAGGTCTGAATGAAAATAAAGCTGGCTGAAAGAAATACACAGCTATAATAAAGTGAAAGGGGACTTCAGAACTGCGAACGCCATACAGCTATACCTCAAGTCTCCTCTAAATAGCTGAATCCGAGCAAGTCTAATGTGCGCCGCTAGGACCAACTCAAGTATCTGCATAATAAAGTATAGTGTGTAGTGATCGCTGCCAACTCGATGCTACACCAAGGTAGGAAGAGCGGGTCGCAATAGCTTTTACCCGAATAGTGGTCGGGATCAATTTCCACAGGGAGCTAGTAGTGGAGTTGGATTTTCTGTCTAGTCTAGAGATGTGTTTGTGCTCCTAATGTCACTTCAAACATTCTTGGTTTTTGATTTTATAACTACTATGATAAAACTAATGATTAACGCTAAATTATGCTACTAGAATATTGCAAAGTTGTATCTAATGGGAAGGAAGGCACTAGGGTCGTGGCATTACCTAGGTGGCTAATTGACGGGTAGATGTTACTAAGGATAGATTGACATATTTGGGGCTTATGCTATAACCGTTGCACAATTGTACCCACTCTCACACCTCTCGGTAGAGAGAGTGATTTTGACCAATTGACTCTCTCGAGACCAATTAGGTAGGCCAATAAGATCAACCAACTAGGGTTCAAGTAGGGTGATTACTCTCTCGAGATTTAACCCGTTAATTGGGACTATCATTTCTCATGAGTCCATCCCAATTCCTTGTTGGGTCAATTTTGGGGTCATAAACTCTCTTTCTCAAGAAGAGTCAAACCTACAAAGCAGTGTTTGCAACCACCAATTCTTAAATAAAAACATAAAATCAACCCAAAGAACAAACACCCATAATCAATCTAACCCTAGATGGCAACACCCATCAATTACCCACACTAGGGTTGAGCCACAACCCTAGCTAATGGGTTTAGCTACTCATGCTTGAAAAAGAAAATGAAAAAATAGATGAAGGACTAAGAATATTAATTAATTACTAAAAAGAAATCACAAGAATCTATCGTAAAATTAAAGCTAAAGTGCCAAAAATGGCTACAAAACCAAGTCTCACGAGCGCAGCTATCTCTGGAATACAAAAACTTACCTAAAAATGGTAAAATATTCTATTTATACTAGGCTGGAAAAACTGGACAAAAATACCCCTGCGGGGTCAGTGCGGGCCGCACAAAAAGGACCGCGGCCACACTGGCTCTTGGACTTCACATTTCTGCTTCTCTGAAGTTGGACTCCGCCGACCGCGTAAAATGGACTGCGACCGCGGAGGGAGTTTGCGCGGTCCGCACAATAACGACCGCGGACCGCATGGCATTGTCTTGGCAAAAATGGTAGCTCTCTGAACCTCTGCTCCGCGGACCGCACAAAAAGGTAGTGCGGACGCGAAGACACTACTGCGGACCGCGTAACGAGTACCGCGGCCGCGTAGCCCTTAAGCCCAAACTAGCCATGTCTCTGAATCTCCTAGTGCGGCCACATTCGCTTTTGCGCGGTCCGCACTAGGCCCTCTTTTCCTCAATTCACTTAATCTTTGATACTTGAGCAGGTTTCACTCCTTTTTGAGCCGATCTTTGACATTTCGTTACTTTGTCGATCAAACCTGCAAACAAGCACAACCTGTGAGCATTTTGGAACTATTTTGTAGCAATTTATAACCAAAGCATAGGCAAGTAGGGGCATAAAACATATTAAAATCCCGACTTATCAACTCCCCCAAACTTAAACCTTTGCTTGTCCTCAAGCAAACAAAATAAGACCCACCTCTTAAAGGAAAATCCAAGTAATTCCAGCTGACCTAAAGTAACCTCAACAAGCATCAATTGGGACTAACAATTGCCCTCAATACAAATGGATCATTAACAACATTTAAACGTTGAAAACTATGGATCAAGTGTGACACAAGAGCATCAAGGATTGACTCATTACATCAGAGAACTCTCTCAATTACTTTAGTCGCTGTGGGACCCAAACTCATACATCCTCAACTCTCCCTAAGAAAACCTCACCTTTTAGAGTATAAGCACACAAACCGAGGTTAATGGGAGTTCGCTCGTCTCTCTCAAGGAGATGTCACAAGTCCGGCTCTAAGTACCATATGCTTGACCCTCATGTAAGTATCCACTAATGCGAGCGTCATCCAACTCAAGATCATACAGGGCTTTTGTGGAGTCAATGTAAAGGCTTTTGGGTAAGGGTAGGATATATTTTTATTCAAGTGGGTTCAACCTTCCCTTAAGCACTTCTTTTGATTCATTTGGCACAATTCACTTGACTCTTCGAGTCATTTCACCTCTTCCAAGGGGTTAGGGAGACACATTGTCACTCTTTCTTATGCAATTCAAAACATTTCTCCATTTTCTACTTTTTCCACACCGTTTTTTTCGCTTTTATTTTTCTTGAATTCCTTTTTATTCTTTTTCACATTAGGCTTTCTTTTTGTCTTTTTCTTTTCTTTCTTTTTCATTGCCTTCCTTTTCTTTTGCTTTTGTACCTTTTACCCCTTTGTTTTCTTTCTTGTCTCTCCCCCCAAACTTAGATTTTGCCATTACTCAAGGGAAGATGTGGGTGCCAAGAGAGGGTAGGATTTAGAACGGGTATAGGCTTGTAGCATTGGTTCTTGAAAGAAGAAGGTTTAAGGCTCAAAAGGGGTTAGCTAGGGATTATCTTATTGGTAGGCTATGGAATTGTTCAACTTATCATTTGGATCAAGGAGAGCCTATAATCACTTTCAAGTCGAATTTCACCTCAACAAAAATTCAAGGCAAGTTCTAGACCATTGGCTCGGGACTTGGACTCATAATTCAATTTCTCACCACACATACTCAAGGATTGCTAAAGACGTAGATCGAGGGCCCACAACAACCTTAGATACGATTGAGCACACAATAGTCCCGAAAGACCACATGATGTTTGTTTGGTCAACACAAGAGTCTCAAGGTCACTACTTTCACCATCCTAAACACAACCACTTGTCTTTGACGATGGGATCAAAGGCAAATGTGTTAGGCCCAAGTGAAGCTATGCTTGAAGTACCCTTAACTAAAAACTACAAAAAACAAAAGAAAAATCAAAAACGGACTCAAACCCTTAAGAAGGTTGTCACGCCATCCATCATCGGGAAGAGCCACCCGGTTCACACAATACTCCACCCTTGGAAAGAACCGTGGCATTAAGAAAACCAAGGGCTTATTGAAAGCGCCAAAAAACAAAACAAAAGGCTGCGAGCCTAACTACGAAGCTAAAAATTAAAATGAAAAAAAATTTGTACGAAAATAGAAAATAGAATGAATATTTACAATAGGGGATTAGAATATACAACGGGGGATGAATATATACAAAAATGTAACTTTATATACAGACCAAATAGAAGGTAAAAAGTATGATAAAAGTACTGAATGTAAAGTTATATACAACCCAAAATAGAAAATCAACAGAAACATAAACTAAGTCAACTAATATATACAGTCATCCAGATAAAAAGTAGGGCGCACCCCCACGAATAAAAGTTGGCATTGTCCCCAATGCCAACTATCAAATAAGCATCAAAAATCACAAAGAAAGGATATAGGAGCTCCCTAGGCCTGGTCCGTCTGCATGGGATCATCAGTGGTCCCCGGGTCCTCTGAATGTGCGGGAACCTCAGACTGGTTCCCGGTCTCCTGCTGCTCAGCTGCGGGGACCGGGGCCTGTTCCTGGACTTGCTGGATGTCAGGTGCATCATGTGGCAAACTGGAGGAGACCTCCTGTGGGTCTGCCAACTGGATGACAGCATCGTCTGCACTGGGGATCTTCCTCTTCTTCCTGGGAAGCCTCTGAGTCTGCTCCTGCTGTGGCTCTGCTACTGGAGCTACTGCTGGGGCTGGATCCCCGAATAGCAAGTCTAGAGGCATCTGGTCCGCCAACCACGTGATTTCCTCATCTTCTTGTGCTCCCGGGCAAGCTGCTTCAAAGCCTTGCCCTGTGACTCCACTGCCTTAGACAAGGCATCCTGTGTCTTCATCATCTTCTCCTGGTTCTCCAGGAGTTTCTTCAGTGTGTCCTCAATAGACTGAGGGATCTGAGCTATCTGTGGTGCAGACTGAGCCTCAATAGTGGAAGATAGAGTAGAAAACTTGGACGTCGCTGCTGACATCCAGTTGTTCATGCTATAAAGTGCCTGGCTCAGCTGATGGGCAGTGATGGGATGCTTCCTGGAAGATGGGATCCCCGGGCCAGCTGGAGTAGAGGGCCCTGGAGGCAAGTCAGTTGAAGTAGAAGGTCCTGGAGGCGGGTCAGGTGTAGGCTTAGTAGGGGCCTCTGTCACAACTGGCTCTTCAGACTGGCCAGTTAGAGTAGAAGCAGAAGTAGGAGCAGGAGGCTTGTAGGTCTTGTCCTTGGGGTTGTCTGGACCCCTCAAACTGTACCATGAAAATGGAGCAACCGGCTTTGCCTTAACATCATACCACTTCTTTTCCACCTTTAAGTCCCGGAAATACATCGAGAGAGTGTTGGGGAAAGGGTAGTTCCGGTTAGCTTCCGCACCCACGAGAGAGATGATGCGGGACATCACATTCCCCACATTGATGGGGTAGCCTGCCATGATCGATGCAACCAATACTGCCCGGGTGAGAGGGAGAGTCTGGTCATGTGAAGTTGGGTCCAACCTGCTGCAAACGAAGGTCTCCCAACCCCTAGCCTCAAAATTTAGGGTCCCCCTCAGTATTTTAACCCCAGCAGTCAACCATGCAAGAGTAGTACCTGGGATTGCCAGGTATGAAGCCAACCATGGATGCACTGCCTCACCCATTTCCAACTTGGCCAAATAGAGAGACTCATCTTCATCTCTGAAGCCCAAATAGTCATTTAGGTATTTTCCGTCGAACAACACCTTTTTATCTCGGACCTTGGTCACCTTGGACCCCTTGACAATTTGAGCCACATTACAATAGAATTCCCTTACCATGTGCTCATTAGCATCAATACACTTCTCCAGAAATATCTCCCAGCCCGATCTAGTTTGGAATTGCCTTAGCACATTAGGGTTGTGTGGTAGCAAGTCTTTGATGATAAAACTTCTATCCGGTATTAAATGCCTCACGGGCCACCACACCCTAGATTTATGCTAAGCCACTTGGCTTACAAATCTATCTTCCCACTCTTCAGCTTTCCTAGTTCGGGCAATTTCCCCAACCTGAGGCTCACCACCCTCATCTCCGCCTGCACTCTCCCCAGATAATGAAGTTGTGGGGGAGGTAGAGTCGTTCCCACTACCGGCTTCAGACTCGTCAGATGAATCAGAAATTACATTTACCGGCCTCTTGATAGTAGGTGATGCTGGAGGGGTATCAGTTAGCTGGAAGGGCTTGGTTATGTGAGTCGGGACTGAGAAGCAGCTTGTCAGCAGCTTTTATCAGTTTTTGGGTCTTCTTTATGTTCTCTCGAGCCTGGGGAGTGAGTTTTGCTACTCTCTTGCCTTTACCCCCTTGGGAGGAAACACCTCTCCCGGGTTGTTGTGATCCATTGCCGCCTCTTTGTTTAACCATTATCTGCAGACACACACATCTAACATTGTTAGTTTAAGCACAGGCAGTGAAACAGATGTATGAATTAGATTGCAGACAACAGATGTAGGATTGCAGACACAGTTGCAGAACACAGTTGCAGAATACAGTTGCAGAACACAGCACCGCGGCCCGCACAAAAGAGAGTGCGGTCGCGTTGGAGGCCCTGCGGACCGCGCAAAGGCGACCGCGGTCCGCGCTGGGCAAAGGCCCAGAATATCATCTCTCTGAATCTCCCCACCGCGGTCCGCACAAAATGGGGTCGTCGCCGCGGTGAGCCAGCGGGGACCGCGCAAAAGTGCAATGCGGCCGCGCTGGGACAAATCAGCCTGCAGTCATATGAACACCGCGGTCCGCACTAAGGCGACCGCGGAGACTAGGGTTCACAGACACTAAGTTAGGGTTTCATTTTTTTGCCATTTTTGTTAAAATATTTATACCTACTTTGTCCCTACTCAATTGCCCACTCAATATGGACATTAAGCAGCCCAGAACTAATATAGAAACTAATCTAAACTAACAAAATAAAGAAAAATGGGAAGAAACAGAAGTTATGGACTAAATGTAACAAAATAAGGAAAAAATTAATCAACTAAATGACCAAGAGATGAGTGAAACATTACCGGATGTAAAGATGAAGTGCAATTAAACAATCTTAAGCAAAAACTAGGGACTCAGTAAAGAAGGAACAGTAACTTTTAGGCTTTGAGAGTTTAGGTGTCGAAAAGGGTAAAAGGTGACCCTTGGGGTCTATTTATAGACAAACCGTGGGACCCATACTCACCTACTAGCGCGGCCGCACAAAAGCGACCGCGGACCACGCTGGGTTTGTTCACATGCGGTTTCAGAAGGCACCCACCGCGGACCGCACAAAAGCAGACCGCGGCCGCGGAGGGCCACCGCGGACCGCACTAAATGGAATGCGGCCGCGGTGGAAAACTTCAGAGAACAACTCATTTCGCTCATGCCAGTGCGGACCGCACAATGTGTACCGTGGCCGCACTGGCAAACTTCAGAGACTTCAATTTTTCCAACTTGTTTTGCATTGCATCAACACAATCCCTGCAACATCTCACAACCAATTAGCTCAAAAATCCTAAACTACAAAGAAAAATCAAAGAGAAAGAAAAAGACATGGGTTGCCTCCCAAGAAGCGCCTGATTTAACGTCGCGGCACGATGTGGGTTACCATCACATCATTTGAAATGAACCACAGCCACCACATGGCTATCATCAATCTTCCCAAGATAATGCTTGACACGGTGCCCATTCACCCTAAAGACTTCACCATTTTTGTTCTTCAAATCTAGAGCACCAGATGGGGTTACACATACAACTTCAAATGGCCCACTCCACTTCGATTTCAGCTTTCCAGGAAACAACCGTAGACGGGAGTTGAACAAGAGGACCAAATCACCAACCTTGAACTCCTTTCCACGAGCATATTTGTCATGTAAGTACTTCATCTTGTCCTTATACAAGGACGAACTAGAGTATGCATGGAACCGGAATTCATCAAGTTCATTTAGTTGTTCAACACGAAGATTGGCCGTAACATCCCATTCAAGATTAAGCTTCCTCAAGGCCCACATAGCCTTATGCTCCAATTCCACCGGTAGGTGACATGCTTTCCCAAATACCAACCGGTACGGAGACATACCAATTGGGGTCTTGTACGCGGTCCGGTAGGCCCATAGAGCATCATCTAACTTTTTGGACCAATCGGTCCGATTTGCATTGACGGTTTTGGACAAGATGCTCTTGATTTCTCTATTTGATACTTCAACTTGGCCACTTGATTGCGGATGGTAAGGTGTAGAGACTTTATGGTTGACACCATACTTGGAGAGGAAGGTATCAAAAACCCTATTACAAAAGTGCGAACCACCATCACTAATGATTGCCCGAGGTGTACCAAACCTTGTGAAGATACTCTTTTTAAGAAATGCCACTACACTCCTAGCTTCATTGTTGGGCAAGGCCACGGCCTCAACCCATTTTGACACATAATCCACTGCTACTAGAATGTAAGTGTTCCCACACGAGCTAACAAAAGGACCCATAAAATCAATACCCCAAACATCGAAGATATCAACTTCAAGAATCATGTTAAGAGGCATCTCGTCTTTCTTGGAAATCCCTCCCGCTCGTTGGCATTGATCACATCTCTTTACCAAATCACTAGCATCCTTAAATAAAGTCGGCCAATAGAAACCGCAGCTCAAAACCTTTGAAGCC